TTAATGTCCCGGGGGCCTGGAACCTCAAGGAGGTCGAGACTCCCCGATCGCAGTGCTCTTGGGGGGGTTCTGAGGTTCACTCTCAGGAAAGTGTTCTTAGGATTGCTGTTTAGGAAACTAATTTATTCACCTAGGCCTCTTTTAACTGAGTACCAGGTGACTGCTTGTTGTGGCTTAATTTTATAATTGTATCGAAAAGCAATCAGAACGATACACTTACACTGAATCACACCCTTGGCCCATCAAGGTTCACATCACCTCCTGCCAGGTCCTTTTAACTGGAGATGCCCCCCTGAGCCATGGCACCTCCCCTAATTAGAAATGTATTATTAGTAAATATTACAGATCATTGGAGGAGAGAGAATTATGTGACATAGGCATGTGACATAGGCATGCCTCCTAATACATGGTTGTACTTGAAGGGCCTAGTAAAACCAGTTTGTGTTTGAGAACTAAGTCAGCTGTGCTGGGAGAAAGAGCCCAGGAGAGAGCTGCTGGGAAAGTGAGTGCCCCCCCCCTCCTAAACTGCTAAACTACTAGGGGGCATTAACGGAGGTTGCTTTGTAAGAAGACAGGAGTTTGAGGGTGAGTGGGTGCTCGTAGCTTGCTGGATAGTGGTGTTTTGCCTGGATCTGTTTTGGTCTTTTGTTTGGTGTGTTGTTCATTAAGCAAGGTCTGTTTCCCTGGGGCTGATTGCAGGCCCTACCCTCTGGGGCACCCACTACACCATACTGGGGCACCTCAAGATTCACCCAGTGTTCTCCAACAGCCCAATCATTTCTGTCAGTTAATAGCATCCAGTTGTCTGTTGGTGGCAACTTCAAAGGCATTGCTCCAGTGAAGAACAGGAGGCAAGAGGCATCACTGTAGTGCCATTATTAGTGAAATCCCCTTCCCGTCTTTGTTTCTGCCTTGCTAGAGCTGTACAAAATGGCATCCAGTAGCAAGCACAGAAGCAGTGGATGTGGAGTGTCCTGATGCGAGTGGGAGTCGCTGGATCTCTTCTCCCTGTGGGGGGAATAGAAGGTGTAGGAGGCATTGGGGTCTTCTCACAGGAACATAGACATTTTTGAAATGATTTCTGAGGAGATGGCATTGAAGGGGCATAAGAAGAAGAAGAAGAAGAAGAGGAGATTGGATTTATACCCCGCCCTTCACTTGGAGTCTCAGAGCGGCTTACAAACTCCTTTCCCTTCCCCTCCCCACAACAGACACCCTGTGAGGTGGGTGGGGCTGAGAGAACTCTGACACAAACTGCTCTTTTTCAAGGATAGCTAGCTGTGCCAGAGCTTGTGTCTGACCCAAGGTCACATCAACAGGTGCAAGTGGAGGAGTGGGGAATCAAACCCGGTTCTCCCAGATTAGAGTCCGCACACTTAACCACTACACCAAACTGGCTCTCTACAGGTACTACAGATCTGTGGTGGAGTGCCGCACTAAATCTTAAGTCCCTATGCCAAGATTACAAGAAGACAGTGGCACATAACAGGCAATCTGGTAATTCACCTGCGAGCTGTCCGTACTTCAGCGAGCTCCACCGTATTTTAAAGGCGACCCCAGCATTACACCCAGGTGCCTTGTGAGGAGCATGGAACTCCAGTTCCATACTGGGGCACCTCAACCCTGCCTCGATGATGCTTTAGGTTCTGAAGAACTGTTCATATATGACCTGGAGATGGTAAGCCCTGCAGGCATACTAAGCTCCACGCCATCAGATGTCGGTGAGTTGACACAATCCCACAATCGGAAATCTTTCTCTCTGTGTCATGTTACTCTATGTTTCTGCCTTGGATTTTCATCCAGCTCTTAATTCTTGTACATGCAGGTAGTCCTGGGAAGCTGCTTGCAAATGCCGGGGAAGAGGACTTGGATGTGACCAGGATCAGCACCCATCTGGGTACTGGTGTATCCCACTTCGCCACCCCCACCCCCCAATATAGGTCTTCAAACTGTTAAATTCATTTCTTCAGATGTTGGCTAAATCCCAAGGTCAAGTACATACCTAGCTCAATATGGAGAGCTACAACTGTTCTGATCATCAGCAGGCAGCAGGCGCAGATATGGGGGGACACTTCAAACAGTATTATGCTGCATTCAGAGCACCTGTGAGTTATGGCGGCTGGAAAGGTTCCACTTCATGCTCCTTGCTGACCAGTAAGTGTTGGTGCTTGTTGGGCAATAGTAGGAGGGCTTCTGGAGTCTGGCACCGATAGTAGACCTCCTGATGGCGCCTGGTTTTTGGCCACTGTGTGATAGAGTGTTGGACTGGAGGGATCATTGGCATGATCCGACATGGCTTCTCTTATATTCTTATGTGGTTATGTTTGCCTTTCTTGATGCCTTTTCACAACCACTGTTTCGAAATCCACTTCTGATCTAGAAGTGTGAAAATGGTTAAGATTTTTGCAAATTTCTGAAGAACTTGCTGCTGGACCAGTTAGGCTAGTATTTGGTATAGGGGTCTCTGAGGGGAGGGAGAAGAGAGTACAAGGTGATTAAAATGGACTTCTTGAAGAATGGAGATAGAATACATACATTCAGTCTGATATATACATACGCAAACCAAAATTATTATGAGGTGTTAGCTGTTTAATGGACCTGTAAAATCCAACAGAACTGGTAGCCAATATGCAATACAGGCTCTATTTAACAATATATTTAAGAAGACTCCATTCAGCAGTTGGTAATACTATAAATTGGACGAGGTAAAATTAGTTACTCCTGGACTGCAAAACCGTCACCCTTCTTTTACAAATACCTAACTACCAATGTCTTTTTCATATTCTGTTGTTAAACCAGAAGCCTGAATATTTATTGAAAAACCAGTATAGTTCTCCAAATAAAAGTGCATTGCACCTTTCATTGGATTCCTGCAAAAATGTCTCATCTAAGAACAAAAAACAAAAACAACTAATAACAAATGCAGATGCAAGGTCAGAGTGGCCATTACTGGATTTACAGAATCGGGAGCCAGCTGTGGGGGTTGTGCATGCTCCCAGCCTTTCCCTTTTTATGCACAGATTCCTACTATCTCTGCTATAGTTAGGTCTCACTGCCCTTGGTCATAATTATACCACCAAGCTGGGGACACTGGAAACTAGGTCGCCGTCCACCCAGCGGTTTGAAAGCTTCGGCGAGTAGATAAATTGGGTACCACTCCTTAGAGAGGGTGGGCACACAACCCCCCCCCCCGGGGGGGGTTGTGTTAGCCAATCGGATGGTCTGCGCTTAAGATCCGCAAGCTGGAAAAAGAACTACGCTGCAAGAAATAGCCTGCAATAGGCCACTCGGCCAGACGGTGGCAGTGGTGCGCTGCGACTGAGACAACGCTGACGACATCAAGCGTCGCCGAAGGAAGGAATGGAACACGCCTGGACCTGCTGCTGACTATCTCCGTTGACTACGATAAAAACGTGTGTGATTTAATTGATATATGTTGTCTTCCCTTACCCCCAAGCATTGTTAGTCCCATGTGATATTCATGAGTAACTGTACATCGCTCAGAGCCGGCAGCTCTGCATGGATTGAGCGATTAATAAATGGAAAGATTATTATTATTATAGGTTTTGAAACCTTATGGAAGGTTTCTGCATGAACCCCAATTCAGAGATATGTGTTCAGTTTGTGTTGGTAGGAGCTCCTCTTTTCAGAAATGAGATGCCAGGTCAAAGTCATAATCAAATGCCAGGCTTAACAGTGATTGGTGTTGAATGGGCCAATGAGGAAGACCGTATTCTATCCTGTGTGAACAACAACAAAACATGGCATGAGTGAGAGAGCTCATTGGCAGTTCACTGCATTATTCTATACAGTTTGGAGTGTGGTGTTCTTAACCTTCCAGGCCAGTTTCATTGCATTGTTTATTTATTTCATTTATACCCCACTTTTATATTTTTATTGACATTGTTTTAATTGCATAACTACACTTTGTAATAGTGTATTGCATTGTTTTTACTTGTGTAATCACCTTGTCTCATTGAGAAAGGGGCACTACAAGTAAATAAAAAAATATGAATTTTTATGTTCTACATCGAAGAAGAGATTGGATTTATACCCCACCCATCACTTGGAGTCTCAGAGTGGCTTACAAACTCCTTTCCCTTCCCCTCCCCACAACAGACACCCTGTGAGGTAGGTGGGGCTGAGAGAGCTCTGACAGAAACTGCTCGTTTCAAGAACACCACTGACAGAACTATGGCTTGCCCAAGGTCATCCAGCAGCTGCAAGTGGAGGAGTGGGGAATCAAACCCAGTTCTCCCAGATTAGAGTCCGCTTGCTTAACCACTACACCAAACTGGCTCTTGACAGTTTCCACAATTTTTGTGTGTGTGTGTGGTGGACAGTGTTTGCTCCATTCAGCAGATGGGGGAAGAAAAAGCAGATAATCAGTGAGCTTTTAAACTACAAAGGAAACCAGAACAAGGAGGAGGATTTAAAATTCCCATAGTGCAATCCTAAATAGAGTGACACCTGGAGTCCATTGACATCAATGAGTTTAAAAGCACGTCACTCTGTTTCAGATTGCATTGCCAGTCACATGGCTTAAGACTTGATTCTACCAGATGGAAACACCAAAGCAAGAAGCCATAACCAATGTTCCCTCTATGCTGAGTTAGTGTGAGCTAGCTCATATTTTTTTAGCCTCCAGCACATGCATTTTCGTCTTAGCTCAGGAAGGATGGCTCCAGAGCAAAATAATTTATGCAGTAGCCAACTCACTCACTCACAACTTTAATGCGAGTAGCTCACAAAGTAGAATTTTTGCTCACAAGACTCCACCGCTTAGAGGGAACTCTGGCCATAACCCAAAGTACCTGCCAAAACAGCTGTTTGCAGCCTCTGAATCACAGTATCTAGAAGAAGCCTGTTTCCTCCACAATAAGAAATATTGAAGTAAGGAATACAGAAATAATAGACAAAAGCCAACACAGAGTTTAAGTTGCATTTAATTAATCTAGGAGAGCCACAGAAGAAAGGACACTCCAGAACTCCCCCCCCCCCCCAAAGAAATGTAAAAATGAAAAACAGAAGAGAACTGAACTGGAAATGTTTTAATTTTACATTGCAAAATTTCACAAAAAGTTCCTTAAAATTACAAACTAAAACCAGTCATCCAGCTGCTTGTCCACAGAGGGTGGCCCAGCCAACCAGCTCCCAGCAAGTACGGCATGTGTTTGCTGTCTCTAAAGCCCAATACTGGCAACACCATCCAGTAGGGAAGCTGGATCTTAAAGCCTTTTGGGGAGTAACAGCAACCCCCGTACTTGATACTGGTTGCGCCACATGCTTCCTCTGCATCATTGGCGCAGCAAGGATGCCCTGATTCTCCTACAAACATATCCAACAAAGAGGAGGCAAGAAGAGGCTTATTGGACTTCCAAGCTGTTGTTTTTGTTTAAACATATCGGGGCTTTAGGCATATACTGATAAACCAGGCCTTGTGGGTGGGGGAAGAGAAACAATTCAGTTGGGAGGATCAAATCAGGTTCTTGTCAACAAGAAGCCACATGGATCCGACTCACAGAGAATCCTTCAAGTTGCAAACGTGGGCAAGAAGAAGCTCTTTTGAAAGCAGTTAGATGGGGCAATGCAGAAACCAGCACAAGCCTTGCATGTGTACTCCCCACATAGATGCGGGAAGTACGTAACATTTTGACCCCCGCCTCTGCTAAGAATTTCACATGAAGTGAGTCACACAACTACCATCTCCTTCCATCAGGGTCTGGCAGGCAACAAGGCAGAAGCAGTCCCTCTGCAGAGAAAAGGGATACTTGGAATCTACTTGCCACCTCGTGTGAGAACATGGCTCTAATGACGAATTTTGGTTTTAAAAATAAAAAAAGAGGCAACTTCATCTGGCAGAAAAAAATACTCTGCAATGGAGTATTCTTCCTATTTTTTTTTAATCAAAGCTAAATTAAAAGTGTGAGCCTCTAGCTACATAACAAAGCAATAAATATCTAGTATATTTCAAATTAAAAATAATAGTTACAAAAAAAGCCTCATTGGAATTAACCTTCTGATATTGCTACAGACTGACTCTTCACAGACAGAATAGTGTCTCCAAAATCAGCTGCAGCCTCCCTCCATGCTCACTGGGCTTGGTTAGTTTAATTTATCCTTTGGAATACTGCTAGACAACAGTACAATACAAGACAACACACAGCACAAGTAAGGGGAAAAAAGAGTCTGCTCCTAAAAGGGTGTTTTGTCATGTAAATTGTTGCCCTCGATGCAGGTCCGTGCAACAATGAAACAGTAATGTCAATGCACTGGGGAGTGAGAGCGACAGAGAGGTGCACTGGTCAGCAGGACTTCCAAGACTTGATTGCAGAGCAGATGGTATGGTGGGTTACAAGAAGAGTGTCTCAAGACGATCATCAGAAGGGTTAGCTTTGAATTCTCTCTGCCAGGGACAGTAGAAATTCTGAAGTGTCTAGCCCTCTCGAACACTGTCCCGAGGCTCTGCTAGTGAACTGTGGATGATCCCAATAATTGACTCAACACCCTCTCCCTCCAGACAGGTGCGGTGGTCCCCTTCAACAACATGGACAAATACTTTTCCATCACAGACCTGCAGAAGGCAGAAAGAGACACAGAAGATTAATATTAAATACAAAATTTAGTTTCATATCCTTTCTGTTTTTCCAGTCAGGAGTCATGTTCACCAGAGAAGAAGGAGAGCTTAAAGTCCTTTTAGCTTCTGCTTCCTACCCCCCCCCCCCCAATAACTCCAAATGAAAACAACATATCAAAACTAGGCCTGTAACTCCTTTCCTCTTCTCTTCTCCCTATTCCAAACTAACAGAATCATTCCCATAATCTGGCAAACTAGATCTTTTACTGCTGCTGTTTCTCAAAAGGCCAGGGAAAACAGTTGCAGAATTGGCAGTGGCATGCATCCTGTGCCGCTTTAAGGGGACGACGGGTAGTGGGTGAAGAACTACATGAAAGCCACATTCATAAGACAAGTTTGTTGTTCTTTCATCTGTTAATAAGAGTTCCTTCTTGGACTAACCTCTGAAAGATTGTAGTCTCCCCCAAGACCTTCTCCGTACTCGCTGTGGGTCTTTGCTTTCAGTAGTACCACATTGCCATGATACTTGTTGTCTGGTATATACTCATCTCCTGCTTTCAGTTTGTAGTAAAAAGAAGCAGCAGCAAAGGTGAGCGCCTCACGGCTGATGTCTTTATAGCTCTGAGTTATCAGGTCCACAGTAGCATTTACACGAGCCTCCAGATCAGGCAGGGGCAGAAGAACCTCCAGCAACTGCAAACAACATAAAGAGGAAAAAAGCTTCACTACAAGTTCTAGTGCAGTTTCTAGAAGGAAACTGTTGTGGGCAAAAGAATGTTACCTTATTGTATTCCATGCCAGTGAACTGCTGAACAAAGGCACACAGTGCTTCAGTCTCCGTTTCTGCCTCATTTCCTGGGGTTAGCTTGGCTCTGTAGCTCTGAAGGAGAGGATGGATCATAAAGATTACTTCCACTGACTGAATTTTAGACATATGACAGAAGTCTTAGCTCCACAACTGGGAGTACTAAAAAAAACAAACCCACCACCTGGAAGGCAGAAAAAACTATTAACCCACATATGGAAGGTTTGGAAAAAAATGAGACTATTGCCTTGATTTGGCACAGAACACAAATGTGTAAATCAGGCACACTGCTCTTTGAATGAAAAATTACGTTGCAAAGTTTCGGTAAATTAGGCTTTAAGTGTACATGGCAGAAACTGGTTGTACAGCGAAACGCGTGCAACTCACATGTTGATTGTCATTTGCACATGCAATGAAAATGTGTGTGCACATGCATTTCAATCTAGCAGGTTGCATGCTGCTCCTATATGGTAATGTTGACTTTTTGACGTAGTTGGAGTCACCTTAAATCAGCTTTACCTGAGTGTGTGCTGCTACATAGGAGTGAGAACCATCAAACAGGAAGAGGCTGTTGAGTGAATGGGAAGGATTCTGTTGGGCTTGGAGCTGACAACATATTTCAAAGGCTACACAGGCACCAAAGGAGTATCCAGAAATCCGATAGGGGCCTTCTGGCTGCACCTGCTTAATACAGTCAATATAGTAGGACGCCAGGCTTTGAATACTGTCCAGAGGAGCATCTAGAGATAGGAAGCAAAGATAGATAGATGAAATGTCTAGCTGTGATGATCATGACCAACAAAAGTCTACAATTCTGTGCTAAAATTCAAGTTCTGCTACCAGAACCTCCAAAATCTAGAATGGAAATAAATTAAACAAGTGTTCATACATCGACAGTTGCGAAATAGCATCTATGTTTAAAAATCTGTAGAATTTGCATAATGCATATCCTGGAACAGTGGAACAGGCACTAGACTGCTATATAGGAAGGACAAGAATGAATGTGTACATTCAGTTCAGACCTTGGATATGTTTGAATCATCAGCAACAGCTTCCCACATTAATTAACAATCTTTTATAAAATAAAGAGTGCTGAGTATTCGTGTTTTTTAAAAAAATTAAAAGAGTCTTGACATTTAAAACAAAATCTGCACTAGATTTTTTCTAGCACCAGAATTCTGAGCTATAAATAACTGCACAGTAGCTGCCATGCGAGTGTCTAAAGATGCCCATGGAGGTCAAAGCATTTTGTTGTAATGTGCCAAGCTTGCAATAAACTGTTTTGTACCATATAAAAAAGGGTATTTCAAGACTTCTAGCAGGTGTGGGTTTTCAAAAACGTTATTAAAAAAGACAAACATTTATAGTCAACAACCTGCAGGAAAATGTCCGGTTACTTTTAAAAGAGAAGTGGTGACCCCCTTCCTATAGCTCACATTGTTTGTATAAGCAACATGACCAGCAATTGAAAACACCAAACAAGAATTCAAAGAACACTCTGGGAGGAAGGTTCATAATCACCTATCATGGTTGCCAGCCTCTCATGCTATTACGATTGATCTCCAGACAACCAAGATCAGGTAACCTGGAGAAAATGGCTGCTTCAGAGGGTGGACTCCAGTGCTCCCTCTAAGCTGAGTTAGTGTGAGCTAGCTCACAGTTCTTAAGCCTCCAGCTCACACACTTTTGTCTCAGCTCAGGACGGATGGCTCCAGAGCAAACTGATTTATGCAGTAGCCAAATCGCTCACTCACAGCTTTAATGCCAGTAGCTCACAAAGTTGAATTGTTGCTCACAAGACTCCACAGCTTAGAGGGAGCATTGGTGGACTCTATGGCATCGTACTCTGCTGAGGGTCCCTCCCCTCCCCAGGCTCCACCCCCCCCAAATCTCCAGGTACCCCCCAACCCAGAGCTGGCAACACTACGGTTAGTGCCAGCCTCTCCCTTCGTTCTTATGTCTGTACCATGTTGTTGTCTTTTGTTCTGAACTAATGCTTAGTTGTTGTTTGTTTGTCCTAAAGGGACTTTTGTACTCCAGCAGTGAATTACTACCACATACTTTTCCTTCAGGGTTGGATTCTTCCTCATGTATGTATGTATTTATGTACATGAATAAAATCTGCTCATCTCTAGAAACATGGAACACAGCGAAAGACCTAACTGGTTCAGGCTACACTGATAGTAACATACTGTGAGTTAGAACAACACAGTAAACGTAGAGGGAGAGAGCTTACCTTTGGTGCACTGAAGGCCATAGCTGGGTATGCAGAGCTTGGAAGCAAGCGTATTGAAAACTGTCAGAGATCCTTCTATGGGGTGGATGAGGAAGAGAGGAGACTCTTTGCTCTGCACCTCATTGAGTCGCACAACGGTTGGTCCTTCTGGATTAACCAACAGGGTGTTCAAGTCCAACTGGGGATGCTCGGCCTGACTACATTTTGTTTCATGTGTCAATGCTAAAACACAAAACCAATAATAAAGAAAGAACAGTTAATGCCCTTTTCTGGGTAGCAGAGCAAGCCAGCCCTGACCAGGATAGCCCAAGCTAGCTTGATTTTGGAAGCTAAGCAGGGTCAGCCCTAATTAGAATTTGGATGGGAGACCACCAAGGAATACCAGGGTTGTGACACGGAGGCAGGCAATGGCAAACCACCTCTAAACGTCATCTGCCTTGAAAACCCCACAGGGGCTGCCTTCAGTTAGCTGTGACTTGACGGCGCAAAAAAAAAAAAAATCAAGCCAAAAGAGAACTACAAACTAGTTTAGGGCTTTTGTCTTACTAAACTATATCTGAAAGCAGTGACCTCTAGGCAAATAACCTTTGGAATCTGAGAGAGAATATAAGTCACAGCCATGGGCACAGGGTGATTGCTTAAGTTGGTGGTGTACCAGAAGTGAAAGAAAACTTCCTGGTGCACCATGGTGCAAAAAGCAAAAGAAAAGAAAAGATAGGGCATGTAGTTCCTTAGGAAAAGCTGGCAGTGTCCAAACCTATTGACTTGGCTACTACAAAGGAGGTTCAGGATGGGATTTGGATGCAGAGCACTGGAATGAGCATACAGAAAGAAACATTGCAGTAACATATATTTCCCTGATTCCCAGTTTGATTTGGGACATCCAGCAATCTCTGCCTGATGTTCTGATCTCCCTGCTGCGTGGGGCTGGCTCCATTTCCAGCAGCAGTAAATGAATAAAGAAAAAGTGAGGCACAGTGTAATCATTGGTGGTCCATGCTATAAACTTCATTGGGCAAGAGGGACTGTCATGCACTACTGAGGCTACACCCTAACCCTATACACAACCCAAGAACAAGTTTTGCGCCACCAGTTTCTCATCTATAGCAAGGGCCTAGGATGCCTGCACATGTCAGTCCCTATTTCCTCACTAACTACAAAAAAATCGTGTGCCAGAAGCCAAGTGGATAGGCAAACTTACCATCTGTGGCCCCAGGCTTGGAAGAAAGTTCCCGCAGTCTGTTAATGGTAAGCAATCTAACGTCTCTCATTGCCATGACAATATCGTAGTCCCTTTCCAGAGTTTGGCGTACTTCCACTCCCATTAAGGAATCCAAACCCAGATCAGCCAGTGAGGTGTCAGCATTCAGGCTGTTCACATCACGAACACCTGAGGAAAAGAAATATAAACTTCAGTAAACCCTTTAGGCACGGCATCTTTTCGGGTGAGGCTCATCTTCACACATTTGGTTTAATCATCTTTAGTGCAGTACTGCAGGCCATAGAAGAACTGTTTTGTTATCTTTGGCCAAATTTCTAAATACCTCCTAAACATTTTTTTAAATTTTGTATACAAGCATTTGTTTAATTGTTATAGCATGAACACGAGCTGACCCCAGTTTAAAAGAATGTATTAAGGCTTGGTGAAAGAGTCATAACTGAGATAGCTACAGATCCATACAACTGAAAAGAAAGTAGGACAAGATATAGAAGGATCACAAAGACTATGCTGTATAGCCTATTGTCCTGTGCAACTTAATGCATGATACAACAGAGATAGAAATAAACCTTGCAGAGCAAGAGCATATGTACTAACAAAAAAGAATTGGCTAGCCCTAATCTGTGACTAGTAAAGAAAGAGAAGGGGTAAAAAGAATAGGCAAAAAAAGGTAAAGCAATTAATCAGTTTGAAGAAGCCAAGTGATAATATTTAGTCAATTAAAAGCTTTCACTTCTTGCACTATTTCAACAACTGTTCTCATTCCTTTCCCACATTCAGATCTTTGTTAAGACTTTCCCTTTCTGATCTCCACCCCAGGAGTTCCAAGCCTATTCTTATCCTCTGGTGGTAATCTATAATGGCAGTGTTCTCCTCCTTCTTGCCACCCTGATTCTGCCTTGATCAGTCTATTAATGTTACCCATTGAAACACAGATGAAGATGGGTAACATTAATAGACTGGTCAAGGCAGAATCACAAAGATGGAAGCAGGGAAGAGGTTCACACCTTTAACATCCTTCAAGATAATTCTGTGCACACCTATGACATCATGTTCTCCCACATCTAATCCTGCTTGCTGTATCACACCCAGATTTCTCCACTTGCGACTTAGATCCATCTTCCATACTAACTCCTGTGCCTGGCAGTTTCTCAAACGCTTTGTACTTCTTGGAAGTGATCTCCAATGAGTAAGAGAATTCCATGTCTACTTTTATTATTATTAGGAGGTGTAATTATATCAGGACAAGATTCACTGCAAACAGTATAATGTAATTATGGAGCAACAGCAAAAAATGGAATAAAGATAGGAAGAGAGTCCCTTTAGTCCAGCATCCCATTTTCCACAGTGGCAACCAAGAGGCCCACAAGCAGGAGCACAGAGGTCAAATCTTTCCCTGTTGTTATCCCTTGACAACTGGTGTTCAAACTGCATCAGGACATGGAAGTTGCAAATAGCCATCATAGCTAATACCCACTGATGAACTAATTCTCTATCAATTTGTTTACATCTCTTTTAAAGTCATCTAAGCTTTAAAGGCATGGTCATCACCATATCCTGTAGCAGCAAGTTCCACAAATAAACTATGCATTGTGTGAAGAAGTACCTTCTTTTATCTGAAGAATGGTGGGTACAACTGCACCCAAAGGCTAACTTATTATGTTTAAACGAACTTTTAACAACAACAACAACAACAATACAAGACTGACTAAGATAGTTTGCTAGCTGTTTCTTGTTTTAAAAAGCATCTATGTTTAAAGGATGGGTACAAATCTGCACAGTTTAAGTGAACATACACAAATTACCAAGAGTTTTCCTCTTTGGAATGGACAACGTCCTTGCTAGTATTCCAGAAGCTTGACTAGTGGAAGCTGCCACAGCAGAATGCTCTGTATTTTATATGTACATATGTGAGATTTATGCACAGACACAGAAGGCGTTTAGGGTCATCATCAAACAGACTATCACTATGTAGTATAATAAACACAGTACAATAAATGCTTTCTGATCTGTATAAAGTAGCAGCCACTCTGAACAAAATCCAGTGCAAATACATGGGGCAGCTGAGACTCTTTATTCACCTCCCTTCAGAATAGCTGTTGACTCAAAATACTATAGATTCTTAATAAAGACTTAACATCGCATCTTTAATATATCTAGTTATCCACAGAGATACTTACCAAGAATGTGAGCAACAGCTTCTACAAGGTCCCTCTGGCTACCCCCCTCGCTTCTTGACAACATTTTCTCTGCCAGGACAAAACTAGACATGACAGGGTGAGGCTGGTTGAGGAAATGATCCAGAACTTCCAAACAGGAGCTGATCCTCTGGGGCAGAGTTCCACCAACCACAATATCATTACTGCCCATTGTCTCCAAGACTATACCAACATCACCAATAGCGCCCCACTGTACAGCCAAGCCTAGGAAAGGAGAGAATGCATGGAGGCTGTTAATACAGTATATGGCAGTCGAAATAGGGTGTTTCATTGGAAAACAAGAAGAACAAAACAGTCCAAATACATTACTGGTTATGAGCCCAGTGATATTGTGGTGCACATAAGGTGGCAGGAAGCATGTGATTAATCCTATGTAAATTTATTTTCATTCATTTCTTTGGAAAACGGATTCCCCTATAGGGCCACTGTGACATTACCTGGAAGCCCATCATGCCGTCGCTGTTCACAGATGCGCTCCATGGTAGAGTTGGCAAAACCGTAGTTGGTCTGCCCTGCATTTCCTCTTCCACAGCTTACTGAAGAGAAAGCTACAAAGTAGTCCAGGTCTGGGCACTTTTGACGGGTTACCCTAGAGCAGAACAACACAGGGGAAAATAACTTGTTAACTTGTTTTGCTTGACGCTGATGGAGGCAGGCATCATTTTGAAAACAGCAGCTGATATTCATGCTTCACGTTGCACTTACTGGTCCAAATTAAGTGTGCCGGTATACTTGGGTCTGTTAACTTCCTGGAAAAGTTCTGGAGTCTGATTTTCCAACATAGCATCTTTCAAGACCTATTGGAAACAATTTTTTTTTCATAAATTCCCACCTATTCAATTCAGAATATGTATCTTACTTCCATTTTAAACAATGTGGGAAAAGATTTCAACTGAACTATGGCCTAACAGTGCAATCCTAAACAGAGTTATATCCTTTAAGTTCACTGAAGTGAATGAGATTTAGAAGATGTCACTGATTAAGACTGGTCCCTACCCTTTAGGATGTAGTATATAAAATGTAATTTATATATACACACACACACAAAGACTGCATGTAAGAAGTCTAGTCAAGATACCATTTAAACATGAACTAGTATTTCTAGATGCTGAGAAGTACCTACGTTCCTCTCATTCACTGGAGTTTTATAAAGCTTACTGCATGAAAATACAATAGTCTCCTTAGAGCCTACCACAGATGGCACAGACCACTTCCCTCCAGTCTCCAGATTGTCTGTTGGCCACAAGATCTAGGGTTAGGGTTCATTTGATGGCTACCACTTCTATGTGTTTGATACACACACTGATAAGGTATAACATAACAACCTACACCCCCCTTTAAAAATACTGTTGCCCAAGGATCATTAAAAGAACTGGGCAGAAAGGACAACAGCTTTCACTTTCTAGGCCTGTCCTGAACAAAGAAAGCTAATTCAGCAACCATTGGTTAACATGACTCAGGTTAACAGTGGAAGAACCCACCACAGTCACCTTTGGTCACTCACCATAGCCAAGTTGAAGATGCCCCCAACTGGCCCAAGCTGAGAAGCTTCTTGTATTAAGGCTTGTGCCCCCTTAAGAGTCACAACATCAGTGGTTGACACCAGAACTTGGACTCCCAAGTGCTTCCATTCTTGGACTCGTTTAGCCTGGTAACCTGCAAAGAAAGAGAGTATAAAATCAGACGGTGGATATACTTGTCACGATGAACTTTCAGCTCTTCCTTCTTTTCCTTTTTTTTTTTTTTTTTTACAGAGATAAGAAAAAATCTAAAGAGACTTTCCAGGCATCTGTTCACTCTTTCATTATCTGGAGATGAAAACAGTATTTAAACAAATATAGCAGGAATCTGTTCTGCAGCTACCAAATTTGCAGCTACAAAGGGATGAAATTGACACTTTCCTTCAGCAGAGCTGTGCTTGAGGAAGGAGGATCAATTTCAATTCCTTGCCCTTCCTTACTTCAGCCCCTCTAGCCCACCCAGCTGTTGCTCCACATGGATCTCACGACTGTAGGACTGATCTTTCCAGGAATCAGGAAGAGCTGCAGCCATGCAGAGTAATGTGGGGAAATTATACTATCTGCACAGAGAGTGGTAAGATACTGCCCACTATACCTCTTCCTGGCCATAATCTTACCCTCCCCCACCCCCGCTTTCCTTAAAAACCCAATCCTTTTATTGAGTGGTGATGAATATGTGCCATTACTCCAACACCTTGACATCTGGTTAATTTTCTTTAGCAGATGCCAAACTTATGTGCTTCACTATTCCATCTCAAGTTTCCCCCACCTTAACTTAGATAAAATTCAGTTTTTACTGGGCAAAAAAATTAAAAGCTGAGCCCACAATTCTGAGGCACAGCAAAGGGGCACAGTCTCATCACAGAACGAAATCAGACAAGATGCTGGGAAATCCGTGAAAGGACCTGCCCAGCGATTTTTAAAAGTAAATTTCATCTACAGGGGCTGCATTTCAAGTTGCAGTTAAGGACAAGATTCAAAGGTTTAATAATTCCCTCTGTGCAATTCTGCCAACTGAAACCCATCTCCACCCAGCTATTATTAGCCGGGGGGAGGGGGGGAGAAGACCGGCACTGGAGAAGGTGGACTTTGATCAGTGAAACTGTGGGTTTGTTGGGGGGGGCCCCCTAGAGATAAACCCCTATGCTCGCAGGACTGTGATTTATCTTTTAGAAGTGATACGCAGATTTGTCCACAGATCCCCCCCTCGCCCCTTACAGTTTGAGCCCCATTTTATATTCAGCTTACCAGTTCGGATGCCAGAACGAGAAGTCAGCACAAACTTTTTTGCTCCTCTTTCAACTAGCCATTGCACCAGTTCGAGCCCAAATCCCCCAAGGCCTCCTGTGATGATATATGATTTATTTGGCGGGCAAGACGTTCGAGAGATGGCTGGGAGCTGGGGTAACTTTGCACCCTTTGCAGGAGATTTCTTTTCTTCTTCATTGACCTAAAAATAATAGTACAGATAACTCACCGAGTAAGGTAGCACTTAAACTTAAATCACACTCTGTGTTTATATAGCAGTGAGTTCTGTGTATGTATGTGTTAAGTGCTGCCAAATCACTTCTGACTTATGGCAACCCTAGGGATCGATGTCCTCCAAAACATTCTGCCCCTAACAGCCTTGCTCAGGTCCTGCAAACTGAGGGCCCTTGTGGCTTTCTTGCCATGCCAGAAACACTGTTTTGGTCCTTGTGGGCATGTTTCTTATTTTCCCTTCCTGTGCTACACCCCCCCCCCCCTTATGCATGTTGGCTATCTGTCACTCTTAAGTTTTTCCTTTCTGAAATACAACTGGAATATCGAAAAAGAAATGTCAAGTCACTTTGGGCAGCAACCTCCTGCTTTGCCTTGGCCCTGTACCAATGCTCAATGAGAGGAGGCATAATGGCATCACATTACACCAATTCTAGCCAAGTAACTGATTATGCAGCTGGAAGTGATGTCATTGGGTTGCAGGATGCAGGTTTGGTGAGTCTTTGCCACCCCCCACCCCCAGTCTTCCAGCGGTTGCCAGACGAGGACTGGCAATCTTCAATGACACATTCTGGCCTTACTGAAATAGGTGCAATTTCACAAATTCAAGCTGCAGCTTTCTGCAAGAAGCGAAAGGAAACAAATAAAAGAGGATCCAGCTAATAAATGATTCATCTGGGTCCACAATAACCCTTTTTTCCCCTGCCAAACCGATAGAAACAAAGTTTTTTTATTTCTTTCATTTATTTCCTACCTTTCTCCTCAAGGGGCCCCAAAAGTGGCTTACATCATTCTCTTCTATTTAATCCTCACAACAATTCTGTGAGGTAGGTTAGGCTGAGAGTGTACGAATGGCCCTCAGGTAAGCCAGCAAGCTTCCATGGTGAAGTGGGGACTCAAACCTGGATCGCCCAGATACTAGTCTGATACTAGAACCACTATGCCGTACTTGAAAAGGCCAGGCATTAAGGCTTAGCCTACATACATTTAAGTAATCATACTCATCCCTGTTGCAACTATTGTGCCTTGAAAGTGCTTAAATACAGCTTCTGGTGGTTTCTCCACTGATTTCCAGGTATTTTCAGTGAAAACAATGCTGTATGTTACCTCCAGACTTCAGCATATTATACCCAATACTAGCAGCAGTAACTGAAATCCCTCCCTCCCCCTCTTTCCTCTGGAAAGCCAGGTATTACTTTCACTGCTCATAGCTGTTCCATGCATTCATACACATAGCATGTTTGAATAATAAATACAGTCAGTCATACCTTAATCATGACTTTTCCAATGTGTTTTCCTTGTGCCATATATCTGAAGGCAGCTTCTACCTCTTCCCTGTTGAAGACTGTAGTCCGCAGAGGTTTTACCACACCATTTTTTATGCCCTTTGTTAGCAAGTCTGACACAATTTCCCAGTCTTTGTTTCCCTCTTCAAAAATGGCATCTAAAAGGATCCCATGGAAAGCCACATTCTTCAGGAAAAGGGACATTCCTAGAAGATGCAAAACAGTTAGAAGAATTCTATGCTCATGTGTAGACTCACTTTACGATCGCCTTTCCCCACATGTTCCCCAAAGAGCACTGCGTTCAGGATCTCAAAATCGACTGGCCCTCCATGGTCCCAAAGATGCCAGGCTGGCCACAACCAGGGCCAGGGCCTTCTCAGTGGCGGCCCCACACTAGTGAAACAAGCTCCCAGAAGACATCAGGGCCCTACGGGACCTTCTATAGTTCCGCAGGGTCTGCAAGACAGAGCTCTTCCACCAGGCCTTTAATCAAGGAGCCGCATCTAATAACTGAACTGTGGCAAGGCCCTGTCCCCCTGGAATTACCACCACCAGCCTGTGCCAGCTGGCATAAATGGATTAAGATAAGATGAACATCAACACTGATTGTATTCGACTATGACTATTCCACCGTGATCTGTTATTATGCTTCTGCCATCACTATGCAATATTATTACTGTCACTAGCACTTTATGATTGTTCTATAATTGCTTTGTTTTATGTGTTTTAACTTTGAATGTAAGCCGCCCTGAGCCTGCTTTAGTGGGGAGGGTGGGGTATAAATCGAATAAATAAATAAATAAATGTGATGTGTCCTTTGGCCCCCAGACCATTCACTCATCTTCTTTCTTTCTCTTTGTCTCTCCTTCCCTACAGAAGGATTTTGGAAAGCTCTGCTCAAACTAGTTTTGAATTAAACAAGGGATGGCATTGTCAGTGACCTCCCCAAGTCAGCATTTCACAGCTTAGTAAATCTAATCTCCTGAAGACCTACTGCAATGTAGTAGCAAAGAGTGCAATGCTAAATGGAGTTATACCCTTCTGAATCCATTGAAGTCAATGGGCTTAAAAGAGTACAACTCGTTTTGCAAATCGTCACGTTCTTTTTCTTTTGATGTTCTGACATTCTTAACTCCAAACGAGAAAAACGTTGAGTTTGCTCCTTCATGGATTTCAACAGACTTAGCACATACTGGTTTGGAGAACAGCTGGGGGAGCAGTCTGCTGCAGGAGAGGGGAAATCAGTGACCACCCCTTTCTATCCTCAGAACTTCTGGTGGGATCCAAACCATTGCCATCCTATCTAGCTGTGAAAGAACAAGGGTTCTCATAACTCTAGAAAAAGCAAAAAAATGTGTAACCTACAAAATATATTATCTCGCCACTTACTAAATGTACAAATTAAGTTGTTAGTTCTCTCTTCCTAAAGCATGTCCCCCCACAACTTTTCTAAACCCATCATGCAGTTTTGACATTTTGAATATTTTATAAGGCAAATCTGTATGCAAGTAACTATGAAACTAAACACAGAAAATTTAATTAGTGTATTACTACTCAAACTAAAGAAGTAAAGCTAAATCTCACCAAGAGGTGTATTGTTGGACAGATCATATTTGCCGATTTCCAAGAAGCGCCCATGTCGAGCAAGGCAACGCAGACTTGCCTGGAGTTTCTCTTCTGACAGGGAGTTTAACACCAGATCAACACCTACAAGGAGGACCAACAACAATAGTTCAACAAGAGATTAGAACCATGGGCCCTGCCCTGAACTCACTGGAGGAGGGGCAGGATAAAAATACAGACACAATCATTCTGGTGCAGGACTTACATTGCCCCATCTCTTCCGTACACACTCCCAATTCTAATTCTAACCCTTAATTCAGTCTTCTTAACCTCTGTGGCCACTTTGCTCTTGCTGGACTCTGCCCATTGCACTCACCTGTACCATTGGTGACTCTCAGTACATGTTGCTCAAAGGAAGTATTTCTAGAACTGGCAAAGCTATTTGCATCAAGTTGGGGGAATCTGGCTTGGAGATAGTCACGTTTCTCTTTAGAGCCTGAAAAGAGTAAAAAAGCATTATATGTTAGCAAAATTCTTGGTTCTTCCCTCCTCAGAGATATATACTGAACAGGAATAACTGCTATGTCACTGAAGTAAAGCTCCGGTGAATGATATCTGAAAGTAACCAGGAGTAAAAGTTCTGGAAAGAGAGATCCAGTCTTAGGCAACCTACAGCTGTACCTCTAAATAGGAGCAAGTACAGGATTTTGGCTGCAAAAAGTTTTGCTTCTTCCTGCATTTGTTTCTATAAAGACACAGGTGCACTTTCCAGTCTGGACCCTAAGTCCATTCCTATTCTCCCCACAATGTCTCAGAAGATTGTTGTTCCCCACAAACAGTATGTTGTTATATGATCAATTTTTATAAAAATAACTGCACACAGACAGGTAGTGGTTGTTTTGTGACTGACACAAGAGTCAGCCAATTAGTGCTGTGAACAGAAAGACAGCTTTCTGATCGACTGACAAAAGGGCAGGTAGCTTTGTGATCAATGTTGTGCATTGCTGTGCTGGAAGGGGGGGCAGCTTAATTACTGATACAAGAACTGGCCCATCAGTACTGTGCACATTGGAGCTCTTGGTCAAACTGGACAAACAACGACCCCCCTGAGGAGCTGAAACAAACACACTAAGTACCTTTTACAATGGGTTCAATGTAGAAATTATTTACATTTGTGTACATCATTCATTCCCTCCATTTTAATTTTTCCAAAATAAAGCATTTATGCTCAAGGTGCACATAACTGTTAATTTTTTCATTGCATTTTCTAAACTAAACCTCTATGAGGTCGGGGGAAGGGAACAACCTAAAACTATGAGTAACAAGAGATCATTAATACATATTTTGAATTAATCGATGTTTCCCTAATATCAAAATGGTAATACATGAGAGTTATTGCAATAAAATTGTAGAGAATAAAGCGAGCATTCAAAAACAGATTTGACTAAAGTGTATGCTTCTTAGCTTAAAGTTATTGATTAATAATAGGTATCAGACAGTCAGAGTTACATTATTATACTTATTTTCTTCCCTTATGTTTATTTTCAAACTCCCTTTTATTTTTAGGAGGCTTAGGAGCCATAGCCCCTAATTCTGCTTCAGAGTCTAAGGATTCAGCCGACGAGGAGTTCTTAGAACTTTTTTCATTTTCGTCGTCTTCTTTTTCTGCATCTTTATTGTCCTCCAATTTCTCAGGTCCATTGTTGTTGCTCAAGAAATTTTTTTGCTTTAAGAACAGAGTCAATCTTTTCTTTCTTTCTGTTGAAGTTGAAGATAAAGCCTTCCGGTGTAATCCATCTGTAAGGGGTGTTATGCTTTTGCAAAAACAATGCCAAGTCTCTGTATTGTCTTCTTTTTCTGATCTCAAATGGAATGTCTGTTAAGGTTTTGACTTGTTCTCCTTGGATTTTCAAAACATTTCCGCTTGTCGCTTTCAGAATCAAGTCTCTTGTTGACCTTTTTGAGAATTTGACAAATATTTCCCCGGGAAGCTTATTTTTCTTTATATATTCTGGATATGTACGATATATCATATCCATGTCACTTTGTAACACCTCCACTGTTAAGCTTCCACGAGGGCCAGCTCCTTACTTAAAATCTCCTTCAGTCCTCTCCTTTCTGCTCTGGAATGTTCTGAAATCTCAGCACATATGCTGATTTTTCCATTTGGAGAAGTAACAGTTGATGATTCTCAGAGATTGTATCCTTTTCCACCTCCTCCAATCTTTGTCCAAACTCCTTGGACTTAAGATCAACTTTCTTCAGCTTCTTGGTTATCTTCTCTGTTTTTGCTGAAGTTTCTTGAAGTTCCTTGTGCAACGTGTCAAATTTCTGGTTAAGCATCTGGTCCACTAGAGGGTGCAAGGCTGCAGCAATCATTCTGGAGAAGTCTATAGCTGCTTCTGGTTTAAAAGCCGGAGACGATGTGCTGGCTGCTCCTGTAAGTTTCACTTTCACCACCATTTTCTCAGAGCGCTGCATCATTGAAAAGTCTCTTAAAGTCTGAAAATATCGCTTTCTAGCTAATCCGCACCGCTCTCCGTCAACATCCGCTCTTTTCAAGCCGCCCCCGCCTCCCGATTTTAACTCAGTTCTTTGGATGTGGGGATTCTCCCCCCCTTCCGCTCATTTGGGGCTTTGGGGCGGCTTTACTCCCAACGTTCAGATGGCAACTTGCTAAATGGTAACTTTACTCCCCTTCTTACTTGCATTTGTTTAAGCAGTAGGGATGATCGGTCCTGGAGGACCCCTTGCATGCTCGGTCCAGTGTGTGCCTCTAGGTGCCATTGCTGGCTCTGTGCCGCAAGGACCTATCGGGGCAAAGAGGCACCTCAATCCCTCTGCATTCCGCCTTGGGAGAGGCACCTCTCGCACCCCAGGCTGCAACCCTCCTACAAAGGGTCGCGGGGGTCCAAGATCAACTCGGACCCCTCCCCATTGGCACGTTTGCGGGCCGCTCACATCAAAGCAACAATGGAGCGCACCCACTTGCAAGTTGCCAAAAACCGGAAGCCAACTGTTTGCCAATGTTTTGAAAACAAACACTGACTCTGGCACAGAGGCAGAAGTGGAGGCCAGAGGAGTCCCCATTTACTGGGCCAAAGACAGCAGCAGCTCCAGGACATTAACATTTAAAACATCTTCATAAATATTAAAAATGGTGGTCACAGCTAATAACAACAACAAAAATCCCCTGGTTGTGGGAGGTTCCTGGCAATAGCCAGTAGTTGTTAACAGAGTGACAACCACCTCAGGGAGGCCATATATGGGCATCCGTTGCCTCAGCCGAAGGCCTGGCAGAACAGCTCCATCTTGCAGGCCCTGCGGAACTGAAATAAATCCTGCAGGGCCCTGATCTCAATGGGGAGCATGTTTCACCAGGCAGGGGCCAGGGTGGAAAAAGCCCTGGCCCTGGTCGAGGCAAGATGGACATCTTTGGGGCCAGGGACTACCAGGTGGTGTTGATCCTTAGAACATAATGCTCTTCAGGGCATATACGCGAAGAGGCGGTCCTTCAGATATGTTGGTCCCAGGCCATGTAAGGCTTTAAAGGTTATTACCAACACCTTGAAGCAGATCCAGAACTCTACTGGTAACCGATGCAATTGGCGGAGGACCTGCCAAACGTGAGCCCGCATAGGCGTCGCTGTTAGCAGGTGCTTATCAGGGGCAGAGGATGGATGGCCTTCCAATAACAGATAGAGCTGGGTGTCATCTGCGTATTGATGGCAACCCAGCCCATACCTCCAGACCAACTGGGCAGGGGGGCACATATAGATGTTAAATAGCATTGGCAAGAGGATCGCCCCCTGCAGCACTCCACATTCCAGTGGTTATCGCAGGGAGGTCCTCTTGCCCAGCGCCACCATCGGTCCCCAACCATGGAGAAAGGAGGAAAACCATTTCAAGGCAGTCCCCTGAACTCCTACGCCGGCAAGGTCAGTAGATCATAATAGACCGTGTCGAACGCTGCTGTCAGATCAAGTAATAACAGCAGCGCCGATCTGCCCCGGTCCAGATGTCTACGGAGGTCATCCGTAAGGGCGACCAGAGCTGCCTCCGTCCCACGGCCAGGGCGGAAGCCAGACTGGAAAGGATCGAGGATCCTGTGAGTCTCTGCTCCCTACGGAGATCCCGCTGCCCCTTTGTAGGGGCAAACTGTATCTAAACACAATGTGCCTTATTATGATCTTAGATTTTGAGTGTTAGTGTTAGGATTATAAATACTGGCATAAAACAAAAATAAAAATTGTTAGCACAGAAACCTTTGGACCAAGGTAACTAGAAAAAGGCTGTTGCTACTTACCAACAGTAGTGAAGACACGGCAACCCATACTAAGGGCAACAGAAATGGCTGCTTGGCCCACACCACCTGAGCCTGAATGAATGAGCACACTTTCACCCTTCTTCATGCCACCTCGAATCACCAAGGCATAGTAAGCAGTGGCATATACCACAGGTACCGAAGCTGCTTCTTCTAGAGTAC